ACACAGGCCCTGGGGGAGGTGCAAACAGCTGATCTCAGCTTGGACCTGGGCCGTCTAGGTGCACCTGGCCCTACAGCGAACCTTGGAGGGCAGAGCACAAGAGCAAGTCAGTGCAAAGTGGTGAGACCCAGTCCTATTTGCATTGTGATGATGAATGACCTCTTCCAGAGCTTATTTGGTGGAGTTTACCTGCAAATGATAAAATTGTTTCTGAAGGGCTTTACATGGAGATGAATCCTGGCTGATACACAATATTTTTGTTCATTTTCTATTTACCCTTTTCCCTCCATTACTGTCTCTGTCCTTCCGGCCTGCCCAGGCCATGGGTCCACCTTGAATCAGCCTCGCTGGCTCCCTGCTGCACGCACACACAGGTGCGTGCTAAGCCCTGGTTATATGTACACAGCATAGGAAGCCATAGGTGCACGAACAACTGGCGGGGATCCAATGTGGCAACCTCAGGCTGTTTTGCCATCCGAACATGAGTTTGGCAAGCAGGAGGGGTCAGTTACTCATAGCACGTGGACAAAGGCCATGCCATTTCCAGTTGCAAAGGTGTCAACACACCAGCTATGACCAAAAATGGTCTCTCCCCTAAAGTTAGGTTCCAAGCATCATCACATGTTCTAACCTTGCCCAGGAATTGCAAAAGAGTTTACACAATAAGGGGTTTCCTCCTTGCCTGCTTGAGTCTCACCCTTCTGTCGTGTTCTTACGACAGGTTAACATCTGGCCCAGGTTATGGGACTCTCTCGTCTGCTCAGAGGACTGAGCTGCTGCTGGCTGCTGTGTGTCCGAGGACCCTGCATGCTCTGGTTAGAGGCTCCTGGGTCATCTCCAATTCAAAGCCAAGGGCAGTCACAGAAGCCTGGGGGAGTCCTGGGTAGCAGTTTCAACGACATCAACAAAACTCGGTCTGGTTATCTTGGCAAGGGAGCAGCATCAGGAAACAGAAGACCTGGGTTTGAGTCCCGGTTCTGCTCAGTGTCAGCTTTATCGCTGAACTCTGAACCTACACTGCTTCTGGAAACACAGCCTGGCTGTCAAAAGCCATCTGTTTTTTGCAGAACTCCTGCTGGAAGGCTTTGCTCATGCCTCCTGTGGAACCTCCAGGCCACCGACTTCCCTCAGCCCTAAACCAACGGTGGGTCATCCACCCACTCCCCCACTTTATGGGGGGGAAACTGAGGCATGGAGTGTCATGCAGCCAGGATCACACACCAGTGCCCCAAAAGCTGGATGAGAGTGGTTAACTCGAGGTTTAGCGCCTAGGCACAAAAAGCCCACGGCCAGCCTGCTCGCTGTTTCCAAAGGGGTGATGGAACAGCCCACCCTGCCCCACCCCTGGGCCCTGCCCATGCCCTCTGGTGCCACATCCTGGGACTCCCACGGCCACCAAGCTCCCATCCCCACCCCCTGAGCGCTCGCCACGTTTGGCTGTCTGGCCCCTCATGCGAGGAGTAGCCAGGACTCAGGGACGGGGGCCGGAAGGGCAGCTCCTAGTTCTGCTTCTTATCCACCTTATGGAAAAGCTGGAATATGGACCGCAGACACCTCATCTCTTTATGACCTCAGATCTGACTATGTTAGGAAAAACATTGTTTTTTTAAAAATCGTGATAATATATACATTTTTTTAAAAAAGGTTGGGAATTTGAGTGGAACAAGGAAAAGAAGAGTGGTGCTGATAGAAAGATTTTGAAAAGATCCAGTTCAGCCTGCCTGAAAGAACTTTTTCCTTGTCATGGAGACATCAGACCGTTCTTTTTGCTTTAAATGAAATATGCTTCATCTAAACTGGCTGTGAAAGGGTAAGATTGTAAGCATGGACACAGAGAGACAAAAGAAAAATGTTCCCTCCCTGCACACCCTCACTGCCCCAGTTCCAGCTCTTTTGTTCTGGGTGAGCTTCTCTGCTTTCTAGAATAGTTCTCAAAGTGAGGTCCACAAACAACACCCTCTCAGGGGGATCCTCAGGATCAAAATGATATTTATAATAACATTAAAACATTCATTTTTCTTTCTTTTTTTTTTTTTTTACTGTGTTGACACTTGCACTGATGGTACTTAAAACCCTTGAAACCTTAGCACTAAACCATCCTAGCATTTTTTCATCATGGACTTACAGGGGAAAAGCACCAGTTTCCTTTAAAAATGTTCTTGAATACGCAGTAAAAATTAATTTTCTTAATAAGTAAAGATAGATCTTTTTAGTTTCTGGTTAACAACATGGAAAATATACAGAAGATCTGGTGCTACTGAGGTTATTCCGTTGTCCTGGGAAATGCAGTTGAGGAGTGCACTTGAGTTGCAAGCTAAACTAACTACTTCATACATAAGCACCATCAGTTCTTTGAAAGAACAACTGACAAATGATGTTTATTCAGATTTGCGTATTTGACAAGCATTTCCCTAAAGGAAAATTAAATGAGCCTGTCAGTCAGTACTGAAAGAACAACAGCTTATTTGTTGCTGATGATAAAATTTAAGCTCTCAGGTGAAAATCTGAAATTTTGAAAATTTGTGTCTGCCACTGGGAGCTTCATAGCTTCTTGGGACTTTCTGGTGAAATTGGTGGGGATACTAACTAATGTGATCATTTTACAGTGTATGTTGAAATGAGTCAACATTTTGAGGCAGTATTTTCCGATGACTAATGAATGTTACAAAATCACACATGGGTAAAAAGACTCATTCAAAGTGCAAGACGGACCAACAGAATTTCACTATTGACAAGTTTATTGATATAGCTTCATATTCCAACTGCAATTAATGTTTAAGAAACTACCACGTGTCAGCTTCAGTGTAGAATAAAACAATATCCATTTGTCTGAAACAGCTTTGAAACATGCTCCCTGTTCCAATTAGAGATTTGTGTGAGGCCTGAGTTTCTTTAAAGTGTATCATAACAGATTGATGCAGAAGCCAGTATGTGAATTCAGCTCTTTTTCCATTAAATCAGACATCAAAAAGATTAGAAAACACATAAAAAAATGCCATTGTTCCTTTTTTGGAAAGTTATTTTTCATAAAATTGTTAATATCAGTGTTATTTTAAAATTTTCTTTAATTTCTAATACAGTTAACATTGATGATCAGTGATGTGCTGTTAAACATATTTAAGCTCCCTTAAAAGGTTTGGTGGTGAGCCCTGATTTGTAGCAGATGCTGATTTTTTGTTTAAATAAATGTATATTTATTTTTAGCTTCACTGGGTGGGTCTTGGTTGCTGCACAGAGGCTTTTTCTAGTTGGAGCAGTCAGGGATTACTCTCAACCTGGAGTGCGTGGGCTTTGGTGATTGCAGCGTGCAGGCTGAGGAGCTGTGAGACACCAGCTTAACTACCCTGAGGCGTGTGGAATCTTCCTGGGACCAGGGATCAAACCCGTGTCCACTGCCGTGGCAGGGGGATTCTTATCCACTGCATCACCGAGGACGTCCCAGATACTAATTTTGGTGGTGTATAACTGCTTTCATCCCAACCAAGTCCCAGCTGCCAATACCTCACTGATGCAGCATTGGGGAGAGGCCCACACCATCAGCTTGGGTTAGCCCATGGCGAGCCAGCTCCAGCACACCTTGGATTTATTCCCTCTAAGGTTCTGGAGTCTTCACTAATTCTGGAGAGTGGAAAGGAGGTCCAAGAATGAGTTTGCGCTCAGGCGTCCCAGAACCACCACCCTCATCTTGTTATGTCAGAACTCCAGGGGAGTTGAGGCCTCAGTTACTCAAGTCCTTGAGCTTCCTATCCTAAGGTTCTTCTTTCTTTAATTGGATTTTTAAAAACCTGTTTATTGGGGGGTTTGGTCGTTCCATGCAGCATGTGGGATGTTAGTTTCCTGACTAAGGGTCAAACCCACACCCACTGCACTGAAAGCAGAGACTTAACCACTGGACCAGCAGGGATGTCGCTATCCTAATATTCTCAACAGAAGCATCCTAAAGTCTCTTCTGTGAACACTGCCAAAGCCCAGGTGAAGATAAGATACCCGAATCTTTCTAATCTCTCCTTGAAAACCTTTCTCTTTAAGGAACACTTTTTGGGACTTGCTTCAGGAAGGTTCACAGTTGGTTCCAGCCTGGTCCTGATTTGCTGGGGGAGGGGCGCGTAAGGTCAGTTCACAGGGGCTGTGACCTAGAGTGGCTGAGTCACCGAGGGGTGGCCCAGCGCTCTGAACCACCGCCTCCGCACCGGGGGAGGGAGGCAGAGGGGCGAGGCATGAAGGCTCTTACAAGGAGGGATTGATGTAAACAAAATACTTTATTATTTGAGAAAGAAAAGGCCAGATTACAAAACTTTTGATAGATAAGTCCTGTTTATTATCATGCCAAAGGTTCACCATGGGTTTGATTTTCCATGACTCTTGGGTCAAGCCATGTAAAACTGCCGACTCTGTGGATAAAAACAGACAAAACACTGGCAAATTCATGCGGTCAAAGCCCATATAAAACGAGCGAGCGGATGGCCGATTTTTTTCAGCGGCAAGATGTTCCCAGCCGCTTGTCTGTTGATGTTATAAACAGCTGTCCGGCAGATAAACAGGTCTTGCTTGAGAAGAACATCCCGTGCTCAGCGGTACTGCAAACGGTCTTGTGTGGGTACAAGATTCAATGGTCCCCCTTCCGGCTCTCGTCTGCTCACCCTACCACCCAATTCCCCCCGTCTCATCACATGGAGGAATTGTCTTCAAAGACCTCACCACTGGTCCCCCTACGATGCTAGTGAAGACTGTCTGACTTGGAAACCAACTTGATCGTTTACAAAAGCCAGGAACACAGGCTGAACCAGGGGTTCCTTCGAAAGGACTACAAAAGTCTCCATCACAATGAAGACGTTTTCTTCACATGAACGACCCCAACGCCCTCTCTTTCCCATCTTGCTGACCCTCTGCCTCTGGGCTTTCTGTGTGCAAGAAAATAAAAACTGTGGACACCCAACAGAAAGGAGCAGCTTGGTGTCCAGAAAACCTGAGACTCCACAGGTAAACAAGATGGGACAAAATCAGGCTCCACTCATGTCTGAGAGGTTCATTAAGTAAGCCTCTCCTCCCCCTGCACCTTCAGCTCTGTATGTTAGGCGCTGCAGTAAAAATAAAAGTTTCTTACAAATTACATTATTTTTGTCCAGTGAATTACTTTTGCAGTAAAAATAGCTGCTACATAAATCCCTCCTGATCTCTGAAAAGGAGTCACATATTTCCAAAAATAGTATTCCTATTTTAATCATACAGCATAATTTGGGGCGTGGGGGTGGGGCTTGGGAAGGAAATGCCTGGTCAGGGGACGTGAGTCGCTGGGGGAAACACAGTTGAACTAAAAAATAAAGTAAGTTTTGTATATAAACTTTCAAGGCATGCATAGAAATGGAAAACATATGCCATCTGTCAAGAAAAATACTGCTTTATAGCTTTTACATTACAATTAAAGGAGAAGCAGAGAGGCCAGGAGAGGCCCCAGGTAATAACATTAAGTTTCTTATAAAAATTCCCAAATGTACATGTCCTTGCCATAGATAATAACCCAGGCAAAACAAACCAAAAAACAGGAATGAACCTTCTTAGACCTTATTCCTGTAGGCATATTAAATGTAAATAATACACACTTTACAACTTCTCTTAATCTGCTCCAGCAGATTAAATGTTTGCAAAAGGACGCTAGTCAGTGCTCCTGAAAACCAGCGAACGTAGCAAAATGCCATCTGCATTCCTATTTTCACATACAGTTATATAATTATTTTAAATTACAATATACAATTTCTGTTAAATAGGTCTGTTAGGGGACTCTGATAACAATTACAAGGTTACAGTCATATATACAAACTAACTTCTGAAACATCATGTGTCTTTGCCCCCTGCTCCCCCTCAGAACCAAAGAGAGCTCTTGTGTGATTCCTGGCCGCAAAAAGGCAAAAGAAAAAATCCAAGAAGTGTGCGTCCGTGACACGTTCGCTCCTTTGAGAAGACCCAACAGCCTGAACGATCCTGTCACCACACAGCCCGCCCAGGGCTAGGACGGGGGCCCCAAGCTTCTTCCTGGGCCATCCGAATGGAATAGCATCATTAAGTGGCGGGTTCCCGGCAGCAGGCTTTCAGAAGTGAGAAACCGTGCTGCCTTCGGCGAAGAACCGCGGTGTCCGATGGAGTAAGGCCACTGCTTCCAAGAGGCGTGACGGATGCGCCGGTCCGGCCTTTCAGGGTCCTGGACGGGTCTCGACGGCCCCGCTCCCGGCCCGGGCGGGCTCAGTCTTCCGTGTCCGGCTGGACGCCCAGGATGGCATGCAGTTCCTCGGGCGTGAAGCCCAGCAAGTTCTGCAGGTCGCACACGAAGCGGTACACGTAGCGCTTCCCCGACGTCTTGTGGATGATATTCTTGTCGTAGTAATAGCGCAAACCCCGGCTGAGCTTCTCGTAGTTCATCTTGGGCTTGTTTTTCCTCTTTCCCCACCGGCGGGCCACCTGTGGCGGGGATGGGAAAGAGTGCCGTTTAATTCCACGACTGAAAAAAAGCACACGTGTCTCCCTCGTCCAGGCAAAAACCATCGCAATAAAGAAAACTATCCTCCCATTAAAATAATTTTTTAAAAAAGAAAGAAAAAGCACACCTTTTTCAACACAATACTGTAAAGAAAATTATCCTCCTGTTAAAATAAATTAATTTTTTTAAAAAAAAGAGAAAGAAAAAGCACCCCTTTTCCCCTGATGACGATTTGGACGCATGCTTATTGGAGCACCAACGGGACCGCAGAGATGCCGTCTGCCTTCCCGCTTTGCAGCCCTGGCTACTTATCTGGGGATGGAGGGACAGGCAGATGAGGGAGGCGGGTCCCCCGACCCACAGCCTTGTCTGCTGAGGCTTCTCCCTCAGGAAAACCTTTGGGAGCCCAGGGGTTGGTCCTGAGACAAAGGAAAGGCTACATGCCCCCACCTCCTGGGTTCGCACTCCAAGACCACCATGTCCGCAGCCACTGAAGTGGGACGGCAGCCACGTGACCGTCTGCATTCCTCAATGCCTCTGCCACCCCGGGTTATTGGGGAGGTGACGCACCACACCCCACGGGTGCCAGAGACCAAGGGCGCCCCTTGCGCTGACCGTGCCGGGCTGGTAGGGGACCCGCCCTCAGCTTTCTCATCCAGAGGGGCTGGCACAGCTCTGCCCACCTCAGCGGAGGCCTGGGGCTCAGTATCCGCCCCCCCACACGGGAAAAAGGCAAATTTCCTACGACATGTTCCGGCAGTCAGGCAAGTGCCTCCATTTACAGCTTGCGCCTTTCAGCTCGATGATAGAGCAAGATGGGGAAGCCCGACAGTACCACCTGCACAATCCACGCCAGTATTCTTGCTTCAGGAACCCCACGGACAGAGGAGCCTGGTGGGCTACAGCGCATGGGGTTGCAGAGAGTCGGACACGGCTGGGCCACTGAGTGCAGCATATTAAACTGTGTATCATCGCAATAAGGCTCCTAAAGGGCCAGAAATGCCTCCTGCCGAAGAAGTGCTCTCATTTGCACATACTTGGGACCCGTTTCTCGCACCCGGGGAATTGGGTTTGCAAAGCCCAAGTGATGTGATCGGGTTTGAGAACCCCAGGCTTGAGTCCCCAGGTCTGGACGTACCTCGTCGGGGTCAGCGAGCTTAAACTCCCACCCGTCCCCCGTCCAGCTGATGAATGACTGGCAGGACTTGTCGGAGAGCAATTCTAGAAGAAACTGCCACAGCTGGATAGGCCCGCTTCCTGCAGGGGAGAAGGGGGTGGGTGAGACGTTCTTAAACACAGCAAGGCTTCAGAGTCACCCTCCTGAAGCAAGAACTGTAAGATCAAGTGCTATCAAGTGCGTATCAAGGTGAAGGTGTGACGCTGGGTGCTGGGGACAGCCTTGGATGCTTTACTGGCAGGAGGCCAGACCCCAAGGTGAGGGCTTCTTCCCCCACGCCTCTCCTGCTCTTGGGAAAGAGATCACTGGGCCCTTCATCGCTGGGCTTGGTCTTTTTGGAGAAAAGAAAAAAAAAAAATTCTGAGCCACCATCTCCTTGGCATCAAAATCCCTCCCTCTGTTTAATTGTTCCTTATGTAATAACTTTCAAGGTTTATTTCTAGAAACACCTCGTGGGACAGGGGTGGGGGTGTTAGAAGGGGCCTTTCAACACAGGGTGAGGCATGTCATTCTCGGAACCCCACGCGTAGCCTTCCGACCAGATGACAGTGGCTAAATTGCTTGATCCAAGACTCAGGTTACTGAGAGGTCACTGGGGCACCTAGGGGAGTAGCCAGGGCCTCAACACTTGTTCGGTGAGGGAGATGCTTTGCAAAGTGCTCTCCATATACTTTTTCTCGATTAATATTCAGAACCGCCACCACCCTGTAAAGTAAGACTGTATTGATATTTCAAAAATGAAGAGGGAAAAAGATGGGCCCAGTGGCTGGGTGGCTCGCCCTGGATCACAAGCTCATCCAAGAGCCATTCCCCAAGCCACAGTGACCACATCGTGGGTACAGCTGTGACCTGAGTGACCAGAGCCAGCGTCCTCCGAGCCCACTTCCCTGTCTGTGAAATGGGTTAATACCAGCCGTGCTAGGCTGCCCTGGGGTCCCAGTATGGTCCTTGTCAACCACAGGGCTGGCAAGACAACGGATGGTCACTAATGTTAAAACAAAAACCCACCCACACCGTGGCTGTTTCCCTTCAGATCAGGCCCTCACGCCCATGTATGAAAATGACAGCCATTTTCACTCCCTGAGTAACTTCCATGGCCATTTGTTTTACAGGACAGAAAAGAAACGGGATGCCTGTGTATTCTTATTTTAGCCTATTGGATTTTTAAAAGCAGGTATTTTTTTAAATCCCCAGTGGCTCCATATGGGCAAAGTATGGGGGGAAAAAAAAATAAGCACATTGAAGGACACAGAAAGCAATCCAAAAAAAAAAAAAAATCCTCATATTTTTGCTAAAGTACTGGAAATATCTAGTTCTAAAAACAGCTTTAATATTTGTCCCCGCCTAGAATAGCTGTTACCCAAACCTTCAAAATAAGATGGATTTGAGAAGCAGAAGAAGGTAAACAGTCCCTGTGTTATTAGAACCCGGCTCTGTGCCCCTTCCCCTGGCCAGGCTACAGTCTCGGAAATTCCAGGCGTGGCTGAGTCAGAGCTTCAGCCTCCAGGGTCCGTGTCCCCCGCTGTTCTCCTCTCCTTTTGGGGACTGGCCAGGACTAACCAGATAAGGGAGCAGCCTGGCGATTGTCACCCACTATGCTGAGCTCGGCGACCACGAACATCCCTGTCCATGTGGCCTCTTTCGGATGCAGGGAGATCGCTCGGCTTAAGGGTAACACCGCACGCATTAAACCTGGAGCGCCAACGCGAGGTCGTCCAGCGAGAAACGCCCTTGGTAAACAAGGCGGGTGCACGCACCTGTGAAGCCGGCCAGCACGGCCGCGGGTATAACTGGTTTGCCCTGCTCCACCGGGTCACTCCGGTCCTGGATATAGTCCTTGAAGGACATGGTCGGCTTGCTGAGGCCCAGCGACTGGCTGCAGTCGTCCTCGAAGCTCTCAAAGGAGGGAACCCGCTGCACATCCAGCAGAGACGACTGGCTGTTCCAGGACTGCAGCAGCGACTCCGAGCTCTCGAAGCTGTCGCCGCCCGTCTCCGCCGAGTCGTGGTCCCTGGGTTTCCCTGGCAGATACAAGCATGGGCTCTGACCCTTCCAGGACGACGCAAGGTCAGGCACGACCACTGACCCCTCCGGGCGTTCGCCCTGCCGGCGCACAGCCACTAAGGTTTCTCACTGAACCGCCCGCTTCTTATGAATAAACACGCTAGGCAAGCACCTCTCCCATCAACGGCAGGACGGAGACATTGTGTAGCTCCGAGCGGAGGGCCACACCGCATGGGAGAGGGCAGCAGTGTGCATGGATCTCAGACACAATGTGAGCAAAAGCCCAACATAGGAACACTTAGTATCCAGTTCAAGAACGGGAAAGATGGTGATGAGAAAAGTCAGGACAATTGCATCTTCTGGGGGTAGGGGGAGTGCTACTGACTGGGAGGGGGGATGAGGGAGCCTTGTGGGGAGCAGGCAACCTCTCCGTCTCAATCTGGGTGGTGGTCACCCAAGGGGTATTTAAGGAAAAAAACCCAACCTGAGTTTTGTCCACTGCACACTTGCGAGTGTGTTCAGTAGCTCAGTCGTGTCCGACTCTTTGCGACCCCATGGACCGTAGCCCGCCAGGCTCCTCTGTCCGTGGGATTCTCCAGGCAAGAATCCTGGAGTGGGTTGCCATGCCCTCCTCCAGGGGATCTTCCCAACCCAGGGGTCGAACCCAAGTCTCTTATGTCCCCTGTCCTGCAGGCGGAGTCTTTATCACTGTGACACCTGGGAATATGCATTTTCATCTCCACCAAGACATCCCGTCACCTGCCTACACTGCCTCCCCCAACAGCCCACTGGGTGGGTGGAGGACTCCGGCCACAGGAGCAGGAACTCTGCTGGTTCCCCGATACCCCCGGGGCCCTGGACCAGAGCCAGAGGCATGCGAGGAGTAAGCTTGCTGAGCATCGCTGCTGTGGCCGTGTCCCGGCAGTCCAGTCCTTGACCTCCCCCAAGGGCAAAGCATGGGCCAACTGATTAAGACACTCAGGTCACGGTCTGACCGTGGCCCCGGGAAATCACACCCCCAGCCCCACCGAGACGCACGCTCGGGAGCCTGGGTCTTACCAGAAGCGCTGGAGAGCAGGTTTAGGCTGCCGGCTGGGAAGTCCTGGCCGACGGAGCAGTAGTTGACGCTGACGGTGCTGATTCGGGCCTTGGGGAACATCTGGAAGTCCTGCTCTGGCCCAAGTGTGCCGGGCACCGAGGATGATGGGCAGAGGCTGTCCAGGAGGCCGCCTTTAGGGTAGCTCTGCGTCTGCATGCCGTATGGCGCCTGCTCCACGCCGAAACCTACAACACAGGACCGCGGACCACACAGCTGTCAGCAGACATCGACGTGATGCCCAGAGACCCTACACGCCTCCAACCAGAGGGAACGTGAGCAGACCCGCCCCCTCCAGCCCTCCCTGCAAGACCTCAGTGGACATGCTGAGGCTCTGACGGGCAGCTTTTCCGAGTCCTCCTCTTATCTAAATTCCCCAAAAGGCCTGTGGCCTCTGGACCCTGGGGTTGATGCTTCAGGTGAATATTCCTAGTGCTCCCACGGGAGCCTCAGGACAACAGGGTCACTGGCTCTTTCGACTCCCGAGGAAACTAAGGTCCAGACCAACTAAGCGATCTGCCATCCAGCCTATGACCCATAACTGAGCATCTCCAGTCACCCTGCCCACGCCCGAGGGGACCACCGTTAGCTACGCTCACCAGCATCAAACCACCAGAAACACCGACCCAAATTCCGTAACATCCCAAGTTCAGAGCAAATGGGGCATTGCTATTCACACACCTCCTGGCCTGCCACCTTTCTCTATTACACTGATCTGACCCTGGCGATCAGCTCACTCCATTCTGCCCCCTTGAGTTATAAATTGCCTCGACCGACGCTGGCCAGTGCAAGGTTAACACAAGCCACCGATGCAATGTTAGATTTTCTAACAGCCCCACTGGAAAACGAAAAAGGCGCTGGCAAAACGAGTTCGAACACTTTACTTGAACCAAGAGATGGTAAAGAACCCGCCTGCCAATGCAGGAGACGCGAGTCGTGGGTTCAATCCCTGGGTGGGGAAGATCCCCTGGAGGAGGAAATGGCAACCCACTCCAGTATTCATGCCTGGAGAATCTCATGGACAGAGAAGCCTGGTGAGCTACAGTCTATAGGGTCACAAGAGAGTCAGATACGACTGGTCCGAATGCATGCAAGAAATCCATTATCATTTCAACAGGTAATCATAATTTCAAAAATTATTAAGGAGACATTTATATTAAGACTTTCAGATTGGTGGGCCTGAGTTTTATCTCAGTGTGGACCAGCAATACTTCAAGTGACCAATGGCCTGGACTTGTGAGTGTGACCACTGTGTGGGACAGTGCAGGTCTAGACCCTGGCTTCGAACCCTTCATGAATCTAACAGGAAGTCTTAGGACCAAGCTCTTAAGTGCAGAATTCATTGCACTGACCTAACGAATTGCTATTAATCCAATGAGGAACTGAGTTGAGGTGCGAATTTTCTTCATACTGATCTTCGGTCTTTTCTTGGTTTTCTGAAAAATTGACAGAGGAGACACAAAATTACAAATCGAGAGGTTTTAAACGACGCAAGAAAAAAAGGTTCCTTTCTGAATCATTGTTCTACAGTTATTCCAGCATAAAGAAATGCATTTTAGCTGCATACTTAATCCGATGGTGTCCCCTGTCATTATGTCTTTTAAAAGTACTAGAGACAGCAACGTATTTTCCTAATAACTAGAAAAAGACTTCTAAAATTACTGCTGCCATTGGCAAAGTTAAATTTTCAATTGTATAATCTGAGCGATCTAGATGATGTATTGAATTCATCCATGTAGTCCACAAAGGGTTAAATGCTTATGAAGTACCCCCTTCACCAGGGGCTGGGAACACAGCAAATTAGGGACCTAGACAGATTCTCTGCCTGGTGATGCTTCTGACCCATCATCTCAAACCCCAGGGTGTGTCCACGGGTGGCGAGAGCTACACAGAGGTCAAAACAGTGAACGGGCATCCGAATGGGGACACATGTCCAAGAACTTTAAAAGGAAAAGGTTAGCATTCTCTGTGTGAACTTACTTCTACAGACACACAACCACACACGCACCCACATATCCAGACACACACACTGAGAAATGGCAAAATGGGTCCAACATGCCAACAAACAGATTCAAACAGAAACTTGTCAGATCAGACTTGTCCAGGTTCAGGGAAAATTTAAGGGTCCTTAGGTTTTCCTTCCCCTCAGAAGCCATAACTACAAAGAGCTGGTGGGGGGCCCTGAGATCTTTTTAAGATGCTGAGCCTGTAATAGATGTTGAAACTCAGAGTTTAAAATCAATTGAATGAGAAATTGTCTCTGAACTCTACCAACAGGCTTATTTTCTTGTATGTTTAACTTGAAGGAGTCCTATGTTTTGCTTTTTTAACTCAATGTACTTTTTTTTTCTTTTATCCAAAATGTGTATTGGGATGGTTTCCCATTCATCGTGACACAGGGTACGTTGAGTGCTGCTTCCATCTGGAAGAGCAGCCTTCTGTAAGCCGTGCTCTTCCTCCTGAAGGCTGGCCGAGGACGGCGGAACACTGAACACATAACTACAGCTTGTGCACGGCTAGAGACAGGGTGATTCTATAGCATCCTGGGCATTTCACATCCATGAAACAGGAACTGGGGCTCTGCACGAGCCACTTGTTCCTGTTTCCTCTTCTCTTCTGGAGAGGGATGAAGGAGATACTTTGCAAGAGGCCTGTGCTCATGGGGAGGGCATCACCGCCGGTACGGCTTCCTGTATTTTTAACACTACTCTCAGTGCTCTTTTTAGGTCTAAATCAACATTTTCTACATGAGAGTTCTTTGGCTTGAAGGCCAGTTTCTGCACAATATTTCAAGTGTGTGAAACATACATCAATTACTTCTACATTTGTTTATAAACACAAGACAAAAAGTCTTTGTGGGATCCCATCTGGTCTTAGGGAAAAAAAACTATAAAATTCCCAGTTTATTGCTTTGGCTGGGGTCAACTTATTTCTTAAGGCTCTGTAAAGTGAGCCCCCAAACATGGGCATCCCAGCTGCCCTGACATCAGAGCCACACGTATGCCTCCGACTCATGAGGTCTGGCCACACTGAGCTCCGTGGTGACGAAGGCTCCCGCCTTGTGGCTAATGCTCCCCACACACCTACTTAAATGGAATCAAAATCTATAATCGCCACCCTGGCGCTGACTCGTGCCAATGCCATTTTTCGGTCCGTCTGCCCTCCATCACTGAATCGCCGACCCGACAGTTAGCATGCGCAGCTCCCCCATCACTCTTTCCCACCACAATCACCCCGTCACTCACAGGTACCTTTGATCATCTGCTCCAGATGCTCCCAGAGAATATCGCCCACAAAGTCGGGCGCCAGCTCCAGAAAGCGCTCCTTGCCAAGGTTACACAGCACCTGTCCCGTCATGCCAAACCTCTGCAGGTTCACGTCCACCAGACTGAACTCGTTGGTGGCCCAGAGAAGCCACTGACACACCTGCTGCTCGGTCCACAGCCAGGGATCTAGCAGAGAGGGGAGAAAACCAAGGCGGTGAGGCCAGACGCACTCCTGATTTACCTGCAGAGCCCCGATGGGCACCAGGGCTCAGAGTGATGAGTCAGCAGACACCCAGGAAGATGCTGAGGCGCTAACAGCAGTGCTAGAAGTGTTCAGCGGGGTGGGTTTCGAAATAAAAACTGGCTCAGCTTCATGAGAGCTCTGCCCCTCTTTGCAAGACACCCTAGGCGCGTGCTCGAAAGACGCCACCTCAAGCTGTGGCGACCCGACACCCTGGTCTAGCACAGCGCAGGGCAGAACTCGGCTCCAAGAAGCAGCACTTACTCTTCGGGATCCCCAGCCGGCGTTGCTCCTTTTTGAAGCCACTGAAGGTGGCTTTTAAGGCTTGACTCATCACAGCCTTGCTGCATGGGGTTAGCAGTGGCAACTCGCAGTTGGTCGAGTCTGAAAAACAACCCCGCAGGGAAGTTAAGAGTTCCAGCTGGCCACAACACAGGGAGATCGGATGAGGGGTGGGGCGGGGAGGGAGTCTTAGCTCCTACGGAAGAACAGTGAGCATCCTCAGTCTTCAGCATCACTCCCCAGAGGAAGGTAAACATTAATATGAACCAAAACAGTTTCGGAACGAAACTGAGAAAATATAATTTAATAATACACCTATTATTCTAATCATTATGCAACTATACTTCTTACAATTTAATAACTACCCTTGTTTGAAAAAAAACTAAAGTAAAACTCGAGTTGAACTTTTGCCAAACTTCACAAAGCAGCAATCGACGCCTAGGTAAGGCTTCTCTTGCAGGCCAGTCTTACATTTTTTACAACAGAGGAAGCTGCATGGTTTTTCACCAAAAGCCTTGAGGGGTTGTAAATGGCTAATCTGGAAGCGACTTCCATCCATTAAAATTAAGCTGCAGGCAAAGAGACAGCAGATGTCACAGGAACACACAGTACTTAGCACCTGGGACGTGAATTTGTTTGAAAAACAACCTTCTCTGCATTCCCTCAGCAATTTCAAGAATGATGAATGACGGTCACGTGACAGCACGCTTACGCAAGCACACACGTTTTAATTAATTTTCTGGGCTGTATTCTTTAGCACTGACTTCATATGACAAAGTCATCTCTGGAATGTCTCCTGCCAACAACTCTATCATAGTAATCACAGAGGCATCACCTGATGTGCTATTCCTTTCAAAAGAATGAACACTGATATGAAGAACTGCAGGCATGAAGGCAGATGGGTAAAGATGAGCAGGAATACTTTGCTGTCCAAAACTGGCGGTGGGGGGGGCGGATCTAAGCTAGGGACGTGAACCTAGGATGAAAAGGGGGGGTGTACTCTGAGGTCCACTGGTCTGCATCACAGAGGGGACTGGGAGATGGGGCCTAGGCTGACTGCATAGTTGGAGCAGCCTAAGGAGCCGCCCAGGGCCCCCTGCAGTTTGCCCCCAGCAGGGCGCCTCCTCTCCCTGGGGTGCATCTGGTGGGTGAGGACTTCAGAGTCACCAGCCGCATAAAAAAGAACTGTTTTCTCCCAGATCCCAGCCTCTGCCTGACTTTTCATACAAAGATTCAAGACATCAACAGGCATCGCTTACGAAGGGTCATCTATGCACTGAGATCCTTAGGACATCACGCTCAATTCATCAAGTCTGAGAAACCAATTACCATGAGAAATCGAATCCAAGCCCGTTGGCACTTCCTGCAGTGTTTGCTCTTCATTGAGGGAGGGGAAAACCGCGAGCAGGGACCCATCAAAGGTGTCAAAGGCGGCCTGGCGCTGCAAAGGCAAGAGGGAAAGAAAACGGAAACGTTGGCATTTACACTTAGTTAATGACCTGTTTTAAAAGTGGTCCATGGGCAGCCTCACCAAGACACCCTGATCCAATATGCCAGTTATAAAGCCATGCATGGAATCGACCAGTCGGTATTCTGAGCAGACTTCTGAGAAGATCCAAGTGACCCAGAGGATCTCTTTACTCTGGATCACTTACAGGCACACCTTGGAGACGCTGCAGGCTTGGTTCCAGACCACCGAAATAAAGTGACTATCACAGCAGAGAGTCACACAAATTTCCTGGCTTCCCAATACACATAAAAGTTACTCTTACACTATTAAGTGTGCAACAGCATGATGTCTAAAAACCGTGCACATACCTTAATTAAAAAATACTAACCGTCATCTGAGCCTTTGTAATCTTTTTGCTAGGAGAGGGTTTAAACTATGTCGAGGATTCCCAGTATGTGACACAGAGACATGAACTGATCAAATGCTGTTGGGAAAATGGTGCCAATCAATGCCAGGCTGCAGGGTTAGCACCAGCCTTCAATTTGCAAAAAACTCAGTGTAGCAAAGTGCAGTCTATCAAGGTCTGCCTGTCATCAAGCACAGAATCAGAATGACTGGGAATTTACTTTTAATGGCCTGATCAAGTTAAATGTATAAGTTAAGCAAACAAACCTAAAACCAAGAGAGTCTTAGAACAGTGCCTGGAGGGACTCAGAGACCACCTCAATCTAAACACCTGGTCCTTCTCAGCTAAATGCGTGAGACACGCCGGCCGTGTGCATAAGGAAAATGACTCTTGTGCTGTTGTAAGCAGAAACTAACACAACAATGAAAAATTATCCCCTTATTAAAACTGTGATAAATCATAATGGAAAAGAATATTTTTTAAATGTACATGTATATCTGTGTATATATGTGTAAATATATATATATATATATATATATATATATATGTATAACCAAATGACTTTGCTGCAAAACAGGAATTAACAACAATGTAAATCAACTATGTGTGTGTGCAGGTAATTGTGTCTTACTTTTTGCAACCCCATGGACTGTATGTAGCCTTCCAGGCACCTCTGTCCATGGAATTTTCCAAGCAAGAATACTGAAGTGCGTTGCCATGTCCCCCCATCCAGAGGAACTTACAGACCCAGGGATCAAACTTGTGACTCCTGCCGCTCCTGCCTTGGCAGGCAGATTCTTTACCTCTGCACCCCCAGTGAAGCCCTACTATATTTATACTTCAATATATAAGGAAAATAAATAAGGGAAGGAAAAAAAAAGAAACCAAAAAAATGATTCTTGGCAAAAGAGCTTCAGCTCACTGCAGTTAAGACGAAAGGAAGGGAAAGAAAAAAATCAAACAACAAAAATCAAACAAAATACGTATGAGAACATTCCTTAAGATTTAATTTTGTAAAAATGTAGTGTATTGAAAAGGTCACTCCCTCACTGCCTCCCATCATCTATGAAGGGGAAAGATTTCCAAAGAAAACAGATTTAAAGTTAAACTACCTACAATTTAGGAGAAGAGACACATACAGAAAGATAAGCCTGGAGCTGTGAGAATTTCAAATACAAATGGAACAGCCTGTACTGTAAGACTCATTTGTAAGTAACAGACAAAGGCCTGATTCATCATCGCCTAACTTGTGGAAGAAAAACGTGAAGAACGGCTATATTTTTCCAACATAAGCTGGACCCATGTCATGTGTAATACAGTGACCCATTTGTTGAGTCAAAAGTGTGTAACACATTTACAGATCCAGTGGTTGGTGTGCTTTCTGTTTAGAAATGCCGAACAGTGAATGACGCATGACGTAGAGGGTAGGCAGAAGCTGGAGCTTGGCCCAGTGATGTTGGCGCCCAGCCCCCCAAAAAACCCAAAGCAGGGATACCCAACTACCCAAGACCCACAGTGGGGCGGGGAATGGGGAGAGGCCAATCATGCGCGTGTGAAATACTCATCTCGACTTATAAAGTAGCTTATAGCAATGCTAATTTTGGTGACATACCCGATAGATTTTTAAAATTCCTGGCGTGGAAGCCTGGCGTGCCGCAGTCCAAGGGGTCGCAAAGAGTCCTACAGGACTAAGCAACTAAACAACAAACCATGGCCCAGGTGACTAAGAAGTGCCTTTCCTTTCCTGACTGCATTTCTGTTCTGTTTTTAAAACCAAGAAACCACAAGACAAGATAAATTCCCGCTGGGTATTTCAACACATCAGTTTCAGCAAGAGCGGTTTCTTCTCCAAGCCCAGAAATCACACAGGCATAAGCTCTTCAAGTTTATAGGAGAAATTTTCTCTAGAGGTGTCATTTCAAACTTAATATTACTGTAATTTCTTGTATGGTTTCTGCCAGGCCACAATGAAAACGCCTGACCAGATTGAACAATAACAAAAACCTCAATGGCTTGAAATTTGATCAGTTTCATGATACTCTAGAAAGACCTGTGTCAGTTCTTACCTCCCGGGGTTTGATCAAACAACCTCCTAACGACAGAGAAAAGCGGAACATGCCAGAGACACAATATTGTACAAAACACTACCAATCTAAAACCACTGCTTCTGAGACATCTTTACCACAGAACACTTAAAAAAAAAAAAATCTAATCTCTCTGTCACATTTGGAGAAGGCAAATGGGAAAATCATCAGTCTGTGTTGCTGAAGAATGTTCCCAAAAGGGAGTGAGATAGAAGCTACATGAAATGTTTATTACCAAGGAGGAGGCTGTTTAATCTGACTTTCTCTTTGTTTTTAAACAGCCGCAGTTGTCCCAGGAAGGACAGACTGCCTGAACCCCACGGGCACTGACCCTTCTGATGGAAGCAGGAGCAGCAAGCCAATAATTGGGCCTGCCTGCCTCCTCTAAGCTCTTTCAGCTCTTTTCCATTACTTGAGGAAACTTCCTGGGTGGATAGAACAGATACGTCCTTCAGTTCTCTTCTCTTGAGAATTTATAGAATGTTCCACCTGGTAGGAGCCTCAGAAATCAACTACCAAGGCCTCACCATCCACAGATTGAATGGTTTCCTTCATATCTTGGAGGTAAGTCAAACAAACACCAGGAAACCCATTTAACAGATGAAAACACTGAGACCCAGAGAGATTAAGCAAACAGTCCAGAGTCACACAACGAGTCTCACAGCTAGAACCGGTCTCCTGGGACCCAATTGTTTTTTCCCTCCTAGAAACTGAGCTTTCCAATTTTTGTAAGTTTCTATTAAGACGCGTTCACTCACCTTGAGTGTCCCTCTATAGCTGCTGGCCACAGGGGCCACCTGGTCCATGTTCTTGATTCCAAAATCATTCATCTTTAAAAAAGAAGAAAGAAAAATTAAGAGTTGAAAGAGGCAACAGACCAAGTGGATGGTTAAGTCCACATCCATACCTCGGCTCAAGTTCTCCAGCCCTAACAGGTCATTCAGAACCGAATGCCAGGAATTCTTCTCACAAAGGTGACGCTGCTCAAGGAATTAAATAATAATGCCGCCTGCAGAATTCCCGTAGGATCTGAGGCGCACAGATAAAGCTGCCTTCCGGCTGGCTGGGATAGCAAAGCTGGGGGCCTGGGTCCTTCCAGGACAGGCGTGGGGAGGACCTGTTTTTCACTGCCAATTTCAAGGTCAGCTCGGGGTGTAGGAGCTGTTGGGGGTTGTGGGCCGGCTGCCGGGCCGAGGACCACCTCCTGCGTGCAAGGGGCAGTCAGCTCAACCTGGGAGCTCCAGGGCCAGCCGCCACCGCCACTCCTGGGCAGATCCAAATCCTGGAAAGCCCGCTGAAGACCCGCCTCGGAGGCCCCCTCCCCTCTCCAAGCTCAGGAAGCACAGAAAAAGGAAGAACCTCGGCTTGAGATCAAACCTTCCTGCATTATCTCAGATTCTCCAGCATGGAGCACAAACTCAAAATACTGCATTTGCGGGCTGCTCAGCTGTGCGTTTCTTCAAGAGTTAAGTAATTCCGACTGCGGACCTGCTTTACTTGCTTGGATGGTCTGGGCTTTTACCTTGGACCTACGTTGACCAGCGTGGTAACCACGTGTGACTCCTGAGCGCTTGGTCCTGGGGACTAGGGCGGACTCAGATTTCACAGTGAAAAGTCAACTACCTCAGTACTGACTCTTGTGTTTACTGCGTGTTTACGTAATATTCTGAATGTGTTAGGTTAACTGAAATTAATTTCATCTACTTCAAGGTATTTAACTGTGGCTATTAGAAAACTTAAGAGCTACATGTGTGACCTGCAATTGGACAGTTCCCTAAGTGACCTGTGATTTGCTGTAATCAACTGAAAACCTATCTGGGGCCCTAAAACGTTACTGTTTGCCAGGGTAAGTTAAATATTAGTACCTGAGAAAAGTACTTAGATAATACTGCCAGAGTATTAGATGAAAAAAACAGAGCAACTGAAGCTGATTTTCAAATACCCTGGGAAAGCCCACCCTCCTGGCTTCAGGACCGGGAACTGGAGGTCTAGAATAGGAAACTTCACGGGTACCTCTCACTGCCCGTTCTGAGGTCTCCACTGGGTGCTGCTACCTGTTTCAACCAAAACTTTGAGTAATTAAAATATTACTCAAATATTATCAGCAATGGATAAGGCTGACTAGCAGAGGCAAACAGCATATTTTCCTGTAACTACTTAATTCGAGTTTGTCTTTTCTTGTTTTCTCTTTATGGTCAACATTATGGCTAAACCAGACCCGCTAAGGACTCAGCATCCAGACACACACACCCCCTGGCTAGACAGCCAGCGTGGGGGGAGAGTCCCCGCCACAGGAGAGACCAAAGTCACGGGGTGTGTGCGGGGTGTGTGTGCACACTCAGTCATGTCAGACTCCAGGACCCCGTGGACTGGAGCCCGCCAGGCTCCTCTGTCCATGGAATTTTCCAGGCCAGAATCCTGGAGTGGGTTGCCGTTTCCTACTCCAGGGGATCTTCCCAACCCAGGGATGGAACCCGTGTCTCCAGCATTGGCAGGCGGATGCTTTACCACCAAGCCACCTGGGAAGCCCCCCACAGGCACCGGGGGTGGGGGGAGTTGTTAAAAACCTCTGAAGGCAGGTCATCATCAGGGTGGCCAGTGCAGGCTGAGAAGGTTTGGCAGTAAACAATTGGGGGGTAGGGAGAAGGTGTTGTCCAGGATCAAAAGGGACTGCGTCTGCTCAGAATCCCCACTTGGTGAATCCTGTCATCCACAAGCAATCAAAAATCAATATACACTATGGATGACTACTGCCCTGGGTAGGTTCCTACTTGCGAAGGTCTAAGCCTGAGCCGGGGGACCACACCTTGCCACCTTACTCAACAATCTGACATCCCTGAGAGGTAGATGTTAAGTCATCTGACAGAGAGGCTACAGAGACACCCCCCCAACCCCAGGACTTTGCCCAGGATCACAGGGCTACTGGGGTGGGGCGCTCAAGGGCATAGAGCAGACCAAATCCCCTTGGGAGTACGGCCCGACCTCCTGAGCTCCGCCTTGAGCCAGGATCCCCTGAATGGTGAGGCCTGGACCCTCCTTCCCAGCAGTAAAGAGCAGAGATCACACACAGATACCATTAGACTAGGCTCCTGCTCTCGACTTTTCAAAGATGCAAAATGCTCCTTAATAAGAGAGCTTTATGTCACTGATCTGCATGAACGAAGCCCTGTCACCTGTTGATGACATCAGCAAGCCTCAAAACAGGAGACCAAAATGAAAGGACATCTTGGGTGTCATCAGTTACCCATCTCCATCTCCCGACTTGCAGACTTTATTCCACATTCTTGAGTTTCACGGAGATGGGCCGAGAATAGATGTGGAAAGCCACGGAGCAGCCTGCCTGGTTTTTGAGTACAAATTCTGAGAGGAAAGGCAATCTACCACTCCCATGTAAAGAGCTGTAATTACCAGCTGCGGAACAGAATTCTTTTGTTGTCTGTTTTTTAATTTGTTTAGTAAAAACCATGTAGAATCAAAGTGCTCTACCAATGGTTTCTGGCAAACACCTAACTAATCAAATTTAAGTTCCTCTGTTTTACTCAACAGGTTCCCAGGTGGCTCAGTGGTAAAGAATCTGTTTGCCAACGCAGGAGACGCAGGTTCAATCCCTGGGTTTGGAAGATCCCCTGGAGAGGCAAATGGCAACCTGCTCCAGTACTCTCCCCTGGAGAATCCCATGGACAGAGGAACCTGGCGGGCCACAGTTCATGGGGTTGCAGAGAGTGAGACGTGACTTAGCCTCTAAACAACAGTTCTACTCAACATGGCTTGTGAAGATAGCAGACAGGCCAAATCAGTCCACATAAGTCAATTTCACATTCAGGTCTTTTTGTGGTTGCCCTATTGATCGCTGCTTTTGAGAAACAACAGGAAAAAAATGGGTAAATGGCAGGCATGTTCAATTTTAAAACAAGTAGAACTTGCCCAACAACAGTACCCTTATGGGAGCAAGTGATTGCTTCTGCGAGATTAGAGCACAGGTTTGCATTTGCAAATTGAAAAAGAAAAAAAAAATCAAACCCTAAGCGCACTGTTGAAGGTTGGTTTTCTTTTTCGTTTGAAAGCTATCAATTTAGGGAGAGGAATGACTAATCCCAGAAATGAGTGTTTAACTATTTCCCTTCGGGACACACAGTGCGCTAGTTTACTGTACTGTGATATTATTCAGAATTTTATTAAACCTTAACTTAAAGATTTATCTCTCGGATTGGTGGCGGTGTGGGATGGCAGACAGCGCACAGGCGCTTCCACTGCACGGAAGAAGATGAATCCCTTACCGGTAAATTAAAATAAATTACCCCTATCTCCAATGGGGGCTGCTCATTTCTTTACTTCCTAAATAAACTGCAGGTCAAATACTATTTTAGGGTACCCTACAATTGATTACAGGCCAACACAAAAGTCTCGAGTGCTTAAAAAAAAAAAGCCATATACGCACAAATGCTGTTACCCCTTCGTCCAACATGCTGTAAGATCGCAAAAATAGAGGCAGCCTTGCGCACCCATATCCCCATTTCCGACATTCTCCCCACGTTCACCTCCCAGCACCGAGGGGCCGGAATGCAGAGGTCCTGGGGAGCCCTCGGGGGTCTCCGTAGAGCCGCCGGACCCTCCCCGCGCCCCGGTCGCCTGCCGCCCTGGCCGGGCCCCGGACTCGACAGCGCAGGTGACCGGGAGCGGGGGTGGGAGCCGCAGTCCCCCAGGTGTTCCAGGCGCCCCGGATCTTCCCGGGCCGGGCGCCCTCCGGTTAGTCACCGGCAAACCGGGGCGCGCCAGGGCCCCTCAGACACCTTCTCCCGCGTCCCCCAATCCCCCTGGCGAAATCAGGTTTGCCGGGCGCCCACCGGCAGGAGCCACCCCCGCCTTCACGCCCGAGTTTCCTTTTAAAACAAAAGCAAGTGAAACGAGCCGGCGCGCCCCGCCCGCCCCAGCCGCCTCGGCGACCCCAGGCCCCGCGGCCCAAGTTCGGAGCCGGCTCCGCACGTCACGGCCAGGCCCACCCCGAACCCTGCTCGCCGCCCACCCACCTACCCCCAAAGGCACTCGGCCACCCCGGGAACAAGAGCCCCAAGCGGACCGATACTGGACGCGCGACCCCAGAATCCCACGAATAGTCGCCACCCTGCCTGGACCCCAGCTGCGCCCCGGGGATCTGGAGCGCCACCCGCGTCCCCAACTCGGTTCCTGGGTTCCCCGGAAGAGAAGTGGGCGCCGGAGAGCGCTCCCCGCCTGCCGACCCCCGCCGGACCCCGGCCACCCCCCCGACCCGACCCCGCTCTTACCTCGCCGCTTCGGGCAGGGCCGCCGGGGGGCTCGGGGCCCAGGCTTCCTCGGTGCTCGCCGGCGAGCGCGCGGGCGCGCGAGTGGGGCGCTCGGGGAGGCCGCGGGGGGCGGGCGGGCTCCGGGCGCTCGCGGAGGCCGGAGCGGACCAGGGATGGCGAGCGGGCTAGGGGAGATCCGGGAGGCTGGGGCAGGCCGGGGCGGGCCAGGGACGGCGGGCGGGCTCGGGGCGATCCGGGTTGAAGCCGCACCGCGCTCTGCGCCGCCGCCAGAGGAAGTAACCGGCCGGTCCCCTCCGCCGCGCGCTCTTCTGGAGCCGGGGTGTCGGGCGGAGGAGGGAGGGGGAGGAGGGAGGGGACCTCGGGACAGGAGGAGGGGCGGAGGGGGAGGGGAGAGAGGAGGAGGGGCGGAGGAGGGGGCCTGGCGGGGAGCCTGCGCGCGGAGAGGAGGGGCGGAGCGGACGGGAGGCGCACGGAGCCAGGGGCGGAGCCGGACCTGCCCGGCGGGACCTCGCCCGGCGCCTGCTGTCGCTCGGCGGCTGGTCGCCCAG